TTTTTTTTTTTTTTTTTTTTTTTGTAATTATTTATTCATTTGGAATAAAATTTCAAAAAATTTCAAAAAAAGAAAAGTATTTTTTAAAGACACTTATGTCATCTTGAAGATCGGACGGACGTGATTGAACCCAATCAGTCGCTCAAAGTGAAGAAAAAAAAATCTTTATGGCGTGAGAAAAAAATGCACCAGCCGGGAATCGAACCCGGGTCTGTACCGTGGCAGGGTACTATTCTACCACTAGACCACTGGTGCTGATGTACTAACGTTTATCTTTTATTAATTAATATAAACTGTCAAACAATTAGCTACAAACAACTATAGGGTGGATTATGAGCCCTACTTTGTATATGATTTATTTATATAAAAACATAAATAAATCATATGAGAAGTTGATAGCTACAATGGTCGTAAATAATTCAACACGTATAATTTGAAACTATAGAAGAATGACGCTTACTGATCGTTATTTTGAAGACAATTATTCCTTCTACACTGATTGCAAGTAGATTATAATTATCGTCTTGGTGTAGAATATAATGACTAATTCTGAAAGAACAACTTTAAACTACGAATATAGCTTAATTCTTAAATATTTGTCCTCAACTCCACTCAAGATTAAAAATGAAATGAAATATTTCGAAGGCTAAAAGTCAATATACTCCGGCCTTACATCTTCAAGAGAATCGAAACCTCGAATTTTTTTAACTAAAAATGTACAACTTTGAGAAAGTTCAACTCAATTTGAGTCCCTTATTTATTATTATTTTGGTATAGGATACTTATGTGTCAGTTAAGTCAAGCTAAACAATCCTAATTTAAATAGCTCATGGGCGAGTATTTTGTTTTAAAAATAAATTTGGTCAATTGATTTGCTGAATGTTTTTAATATTTATCCTTTTCGAATATAATGTTTAAGTAAAAACAACACTATGGTGTGAGGCAAGGCTCTAATAGTTTTATGTTTTTTTAGTGTTTCCACTTTAATTTGTTATATATTAAGGAACGTGTGAAATGGTGTATTGATCAGATTTTGATAAGGGGTGTGTAAGATTGAAAAAAATAACTTGAAAATTTAGTACCAAAAACGGGAATCCCGAGTGCACACCTATATTATAGAATTTCTTTCGTCATAACTTTGAGAAAAGTTTTCAATCGACTTTCCATTTAAACATATTCATTATTTCTGATGATGTATTTGTTCCTAGCAAGTAAAAAGAGTTTTGCTTTAAATAAAGTTAAAAATAAAAGATCTCTCTACTCCCTCCCACATTCTCACATTCTCCTACAAAGTGAGGTAGGGAATATAATCTTTGTCTTCGGTCCCAATTGGTTCGGGAAGAAATCTCTCCATGTTCCCTCCCACATTATCCATTTAAATGGGGATTTTCTACCCCATTAGAAGTGAATCTCGGCCAGATTCTAATCTCATAGATTAAATAGACATCTCTAACTATTTTTAGCGTGTATATGTTCGAAGTGATGGCCAGTAACTTCTCAAAAGAAATTTTTACAAAGAACTCACTTGTAAAAGTAACAAGCATTAAGTCACTACTTAAAATGTCACTTTCCAAGACTTTCCTTTGTCCTATTGAAATTTATAATACCAACTTCCACCTACTTGGCTCACCTGCAAGTTCTTTGACTATTGACATCATTATCTGTATACATGCTATAAGGATGAACGTCTGACTTCCATATACATGCTAAAGTAACTATATCTTCTCTGACAAACGAGGTAACGTCAACATCTAATTAACGAACTTACTCTATGAGGACAATCCTTTTTCATGTGCTCAGATTGTCTGCATTCCCAACTATCTTTCTTTTGCACAGAGTCATTTTTTTTCAATTTCTAGCTATCAAGGCTGAGTGCTCCCATGAAGTACGATTTTTCTTTTTCTCATAATCAAATTTCATGCACATTTGCAAGAGAGAATTTAGTCTCTTAATTTATCACTCATGCTGGACTTCTTAGAACCTGTACTAGCACACTATCATTGGACCACCATCGTCGTTTTAACTCTTTGAAAGTATCATCACTCGTTTCCCTTCAAGGCCTTGTGCAACACAAATTTTATATTAGAACATCCTTCTACTTGCACTTGCCACAAATCAAAGTTCATCTTCCTATAAAATGACTCTGACTTATAAACCTTCACATATCTACTTCACTTCACTTCACTCCTACCTAATTTCAAAAAGTAAATATCTCACATTATTTCCAACACCATAACTTGTTCCTAGAAATTCTTTATGATGTGGAAATTTAGCGAATGTTACCATCACTAAGCATACGCATAAATCAAGAATGTTCTAATACTTGGTAACTGAAAATTTTCACTTCTTTATTATCTTAAAAAAAAAAAAAGAAAAAAAGAAAAAAAAGAAAAAACATATAATGGCATTTGACAGACCTTGGTTCCTTCATTGTAAAGATGGGTTGTAATATAGCTTTAATTCCTAGAGTGTCAATTCTTCCAGCAGCTCCTGCAGAAACAACCACAAAATAACCTCCACAATCTGATAAGTTTTTCCAAACAAGAATTTGAAATCTGAATGAGAAAATTACAGTACAGTACAGCAGCAATAAACTATTCATTTTTTTCACTTTATTCCCTTTTTTTTTTTTCATTTTTCTTCGAAGAATGAATAATAATATTACACAGCATTGGTAAGAACACTGACCACAAATCATTTGAGCTATGAATTTCAATTTACAGTATGTACACAGAACTCAAAGGGGAGGAAATGAGGAAACTAGGTACCAGTCCCACAAGTGCTACCATCAATAACATATCACTTCTATCTGTCAGTAGCATTGTACTCATCGAAATCCAACAAGCCCAATTTTATTAATTAGGATAGACGCTCTAACACGACGACGACGATGACAACCAGCAGACTGTTCTCTGAGGCATTTGAAATCCAACAGTCGATTATTACAGAACACTATGACATGCGAAGAAATACTACCCTGCAAGATGAATTTGTGGCATTAAATTACAGATGAGTGCTGTGAATAGGACTTCATAACTATAGACATGAGCAATATTAAGTAAACCAAACATGAGAAATAAATGTCACAGTTCAAGATTTAGCCCAAAATCGAAGAAACATAACTATTTACATACAAATATGCAGTTCACATCCTGCTATTGAGCTCATCAGGAAAATAAAACACAATGAAACCATCAGTTTACTTAAAATACAATAAACAGATATAACTCCGGTTTCTTTCTTCCAATTGTGCAATCTTATATGAACACATCACTTCAATGAACCACAACCACCAACAAGTGTCTCTTTGAAACATAAAGCAACTATTGGTGAAGTAAATTTTGTAAGGTGTGTTCCGAGTGCTTCTAGGACAAGTGATTCTGGATATGTTACTAACAACAAATCATTTTAGTATTTGGTTTTATCCTCGTTGAAAGTACTTTCGAAATACTTTCCAATCAAACACTTGCACCAAAAGAACTCTACAAGTGCCTTTTTCACAAAACACTTCAAATGATTTTGATTACATCCAAACATACCTTTAATACTGTCACCACCATAAATGTTTTGTATGTGTGTTAAATTCAGAAATTTGTTAATTTAATTCATTAGTTAGTCTGCCAGAGCCATTTACCCTTGTGGCAACAGAACAGCAGATTTTTCTTCCGCAAGCCAAGCCACTCTAGAAATAAGAATAAAATATTAACAAAATTTTCACCCAATTTGTACCTTCCTCAGAGAAAGCAAATATGCCACCAAGCATGTCATCAGTGTCCCCATCTTCCTCACATTTCTCCCTGTAATGAGGACTACCACTACTGTCTATGTCGTCAGTTAAAGCTGGTGGGTCACGGCAGTTACTAAGACCCATCGCTTTACAATATTCTTCTTGAAAGAATGGTTCGTAATCAAATGAGTCACCCGTTGGTCCCTCATCAAGAATATTCATACTCAAGTCAGAACGGTTGGAACTTGTATTCGAGCCCTCACTGACCCCTCCACATTTGGACGACTGAACCGCTCTTAAAATAGTTCTATCGGTGGAGAGTGAGCAACTTGTTACCGTTGACGGGCTGTTAGTAAAATCACTGCCTTCAACTGGGGAAAGTCCAGTGCTAGATTGTTTAGAAGAAACCGAAGCCCATTCTTGGAAAGACTTCTCTTTCATAACTGGCGAGGACAAAACCGATCCATCCTTCTCTTCCATCTTAATGTCACCCACAGACTTGGCAATGGGTGCATAAGACACATCTGAAAATCATAGTAGAAGGTTAGGGAAAAAGGAGACACTGGAATATAATGAATTGATAAACTTGAAAAAAAACGAGTGTTTATAATAACCAGCTGAATTTTCCTCCAAGCCAGGTGAATCCAACTTTATACCTGAAATGATATCACCTTCTGAATACTTCATTCCAGCGCTATGAGAATCTAAACTTGGGCTAGAGCTTTTTGCTCCAGCATGGCTCCTGCAAAAGAAACCAACTCCAACTTTCAGCCAACTAAGTGTCTTTACAATTCACTTATTGATATGGAATCACGTGGCATCAAGGTAAGCAATTCAGTACCAAGCAAGCGTAAAATACATATATCACAGATTTTACTCACATGAACCATTCTCTTAAGACATTGTGCAAGAAATGCACACATCAACAGCAAAAGGCTAACGAAATAAAAGAACAAATGGATTAAGACATTGGCAGTATTCGAGGAAAAATAAGCAACAATTGAATACACAAAGCATCAACATAAATCTTCTGCAGCATGCACAGACAGAGTACAAAGTTGTTGAAAGCCTAACACATCTTGCACAACCACCAGTAACATTTACATCATGCAAAAGGCATAAAAACTCTCATTTTTTAACTAGAAACAAAGATGTATATTACTAAAAAATACCACAGAACAACCTGAGAGAAAGGAGTAGAGGGAACCCTTCTCCAAAGAACTATCAAAGACGACTCTTCCACTTGTAATAGTTGTCGAAACGCTATAATTACAAAAGAATTTAGTGTGGTTTATACACCACCAAGAGACATTATGCTGCATCAAAAGCCAAAGGACTGAAAAAAAAACACTTATCTTCAAATAACCAAATTTTCCTTTCTTTACAAAGGCTCCAAAGGAGGAAGCCATCACCATAATAGCCTCCCTTTTCCCTCCAAAGACACTCATATCAAGCACTTCAAAAACCCACTCTTCGATCTTCTTAGAGAGACAAAAGTCCACCCCCAAGCTCATTGAAAATAGAATACCACCCCTTGGCCATAAACAAGCATCAAGCTGCAGGAAAATGTGGTCAAACGACTTCTTGCAGGCAAAAGCAGCTGATTGAGGGCGAAACCACCCAATTTCAAAACTTTGTCTGTAGCTTTTCGTAGGTATTTAGGCTTCTATAAGCCAAAGGCCATAAAATGACTTAAACTTTTGAGGAATCTTGAACTTCCAAATTAAACCTACTAGGGGATAGTTCACTCTCATTGTCCCGTTGGTCATCTTCAGAAAGGAAGACTTGTTCGTAAAGGAGCCTGATGGATCAATCCTCCATGTATGATGGTAATTCTATCTTGATCATGGGAAACACTTCAGCAAGGAAAAGGAAATTCTTTGGGTAACCTTCATCAAGGCTTTCTCATGATCAATGTTTGAAAAAACTATTGGCTATAGAACCAGACGCCTAGAGGCTCTAACTATTAGCCTCAAGACTAAGGGCTTCTTTTTCATAGGAAACACTTATGCCTCTATGAAACCACGCTAAGGCTTAAAGTCTCTATGTCTCGTGTAATTATTAGAAGAATAATATTAATTTGTCACGTTCTTTAAAAATATAAAGTTGAGTTGTAACAGTTTAAACTACTGCTACTTTTATACTTAGGTTTTAAATATTGAAGACAAACATTTAAAGAATAAGCCATTCCTATTAACAATAGTAGTAAATTATATATATATATATATACATATATATATAAGAATCTGATCATTCATTGAGAAAAATGAAAGAAAAACAAGGGCATGCAAAAAACCAAACCTACAAAAAAATATAATAATAAATAAATAAATAAAATAGGAATCCAAAAACTAACAACAGAAACAAACTTCAATCCAACAAATTCAAGCAAAGATCATAATTACAAAAAGGAATAGGAATTGACGCCCACAAAGACGCATGAAATCTCACCGCCTCTCTACATCTCTAAAAATCCTATCATTCTCCTCAAGTCAAATACCCCACAAAATGACAAATAAACTAGCGTGCCACAAGACTTTGCCCTCATCTCGAAAAAGCAAACCCAAAAACACCTCCTCCACCAAAGCAAAGCAATCTCTATTCCAAGCCAAACATAACTCGAATAAAGTCAATCATTGAGCCCAAAGAGACTGAAAAAGCTAACAACCCCACAAGTGATGGCGATCCACAGCCTAGCACTTGCAAAAAATGGATAACTACAGGAATAACACCAAGGAGGAGGGTCTCTAAACGCAGTCCATAGTAGTGACACTAAAGATGTCATTTTAGAATTATTGTTCAACTAGCCATTGATTCTCTGCATTTCTAAACAACAATTTTCAATATATTCGGATGGCATCTCACATTTCCTAGGAAGGTAAAGGATCTATTGGCATCTCACATTTCCTAGGAAGGTAAAGGATCTATTGGACATGACCTTAAGGTACCACCCTTTCAAGAATGCAAAAGCCCTATTATGGAAAAACCTCATTATGGCTTTCTTTTGGAATCTATCGAAAGAAAAAAATCAAAAAAATATTTGCAGAAAGAAGTTTTTGTTAGCACGATCACTAGAGAAACCCCTTATTGATAATAAGAGAAGGATTACAACCTAGTTACACATTTGAGAGGTCGGAAAAACTCTCCTTCCTATGCTCAACAACATTTAAAAGCAGCCCTCCCCTCTTCCCTTCTACAACTATTAACTACAAACACAACACATAGCTAATTGACTATCTAACATTGATCCCACATGACTAAATAACCACCCGTAGCCACCTGCAGCTACCTATAAGGCTATAACTATCCATGACGCTACTCATTAGTCTTAATCCCATCTTACAAGTCCCATTCCTAACATATGTAAATCGGAATTGAGGTCTATCAGGTTATGTCTTGCCCAATTTTTATTCCTTCCTTAGCTAGAGGTATGAATTATCCTAATACATTGGAAGAGAAGAGGTGAGACAAAAAACAGAAAATCCTGCCAACTAATACGGGATATTAAATTAAAAGAATATGGCAACACAAATTTACAGCAATGAAATGAGACACGATTATCATCACCTGCCATGCCAATCAGACTGTACCCCACGAAAATGGTCGAAAACTGGAAGCAAATCCTTCCGCTTAATTTCCACCTCATTAGTAAGTATTTTCTCTATCTCAATCTCCCCATTCATGTGATCTTTTATGCTACTTGGCTCATTAGACCCAGGAAAACTCATTGTATAGAAATGTACCTGCAATAGAGAGGAAAAAACACCAACTTAATAAATGCCTGAAAAAAAAAATCAGAAAGGCACTATGACCAATACCTTGGATTTCTGCCAGATAGGTATCCTCCCAGAGTTTATCTGCACCTCAGAATTGGATAGGTATAAGAGAGAACAGTCACGTGGCTTTTCTGACTCTTGGGCTTCAAGATGCTCATGTTTATAGGATGTATCCTCAACAGCTTCTGCAGTTCCTTTTCTCCTGAGAGTAATAGAAGATATGCATTCCTCTCTCTCTGGCCAAGCAGCTCTTCGGCAAACATCCCACCATTGAATAGGTTCAACTTTAACTCGCAATTCCTCATCTTTCATCTGCATTGAAGCATTTGGGCTTCTCGAAATAGTTTCACCACATTCTCCCCCCATTGGTGGAAGCAGTTTATGTTGAATCACATGGCCAGAAGGAGTAAACACCAATAGATGTTCCAAAGTATTCGAACCTAATTGAGGAGATTGCAGATTCTGAGGTGTGCAACGATGGAAAACAGCAGAAACAGCACCTGATGGAATGGAAACCTTTCCAGATGCCGAAACAGCTGACATACTGACAGTATTAAGCCATCCTGAATTACAATTCTTAATTCTGCTAACCACAGAAAGAGTGACAGTAGGAGGAGGAGAAGGAGAAAAGGATTGCTGGTTTGTGATAAAAGATGAAGTTGACCACCAAGGGACAGATGAAGCTGGTAAAGGATTAGGCCCATCAACTAAAGAATTGTGCATTTGAAGAACAGTTTCACCTCCAAAAGGTGAAAGAGCAAAAATATGGCAAGTTCCCCGGGAAGAGACAATAGCTATCCATTGACTATAGTGACTAAAACAAATATCTTGTATTACCTGGATTGAGAGCAATAAAAAGGACCACTTGTAAGCACATAAGAGTTAATGAAAAGTTAATGAAAAGGCAAGAACGTACAGCTGATGTCATGCCACGATGAAGCTTATACAGGTGCACATGGGAGGAACTCCAATCATAGCTGTGAGTACCAGATCCATTTTGTAGGCGGGATGGCATAATCCTAAAAATGTTAATATTGCTACCATGGGTTGAGGCAGTAACTAGAAGGGTCCCGCTTGGATCAAAACAAAGTGCAGAAATTGGACTTGAGTGAGCCTTAAATTGTGATACAACAGCTTTAGAGACAAAATCTTTCACAACAACCTGCAAAAAGAGCAACGTTGAAAACCGGGGGCAAAGCTATCAGAATTTCCCATATTGAATAGTATAAATATGTCCTCATTCATATGATCAGACTCTAACTAGCAGTAGGAAGTATTAAGTAGTTGATACCTGAGCTCCCTAAAATGATAGGATAGAAGCCAAATCTTAGTAGCCAATACCCAAAAACTTCAGTGTCATTCACAGAACAAGATGCATAACATTGACAACCTTTAATCACAAACGTTAGTAGGTTGCTATGCAATATCCGTTTACTTTTTATATTTTACTGCTTTCAGAAATATCAAAAGAAGATATAACATGTTGATTAATATAAGTAACTATCGCAAAAATATATCAGACTATTTTTCAATGCACATGCAAAACTTACGGTATAAAAGTCAAAAGACTAACCATTCCATCAGCATCCGTTTCTGTTGATGCCAGCCGGCCAACTTTTCGACTTGAATTTGATGATAGTGGAGAATTGGAACCATCAGGTACAAACTCTTGATAGTATTTAGACAATGTTTTATAACCCTTGTCACCCAAATTAATTAGCCCAGCAGCCAAATGCTTACTAGATTCCATGGCATATCGGGCCACCAAACTTCCACTGCTAGGTGATGTTGATGGGCTTACACCAGGAGGTGTAGGACTTTGTGGGCTTAAACGGCCAGTATTGGACTGCAAAGGATTGTTGGAAGCATAAGCTAACCATCTAGGACCTACAGCCATAGGTCCATAGCCAATATTAACCCCAGTTGGTCCTTGGCCACCCAATTGAGGAACTGGATAAGTGAGAACACTAAATTTACTCTCAAGGGTGAGAGCATCAAAGCAATAAATCTGTAAACAAAAGGAGTAAATAATTAAAAAAAAATTGAAATGTAAGCAATGGACCATCCTTCATAATCAGTTTAATATTCATAGGAAACACATTATTGGTTTAAACAGCAAAACTAGCAAAAGATAGTTTTGATTTTTTTTTTTTTTTTAATCCATCAGAAAATAGTCTTGATTTTTTAAAAGTCCCCCAGAAAATGGTCTTCCTTAACTACAAGACCAGCAACCATCCATCCATTTGATTAGTTTGGGAAAAAAAACACATCCATTGTTAAGGCAATTGTATGCCAAGTGTTTTATATGGTTAATTATGTATCAGAAAGAAAAAGGAAATAGAAATCTTTTTCTTAATTACAAATAATATTCATGAGCATAATATAAGCTTACTTGTGATGCAAGACCAACAGCCACAATTTTGGGGCTGCATCTAATCATGTACACAGTTGAGCGAAATCTCAGAACATGAACATAACTGCGAGATTTTAATGAGTAAAACCTAACAGCCGTAGGGGAGAGGGTAATGTTCTCTGAATGACCATTAGGATATCCATCTCTCACCAACCCATTTCTGTCACTTTGCATCAGACCTGAACTCTGGGTCTCATCACATGCGACAACCAAAAGAATTGGGTGTGATGCTCCAAAGCCTTCCTGACCAGCAGCAGACTCAGCCGGAAGAGGCTGCATCTGCAAGAATGTGGCTGGATCATCCCGTCTTGAAACCAGTTCGCTGACGTTGGGAGCATCTTCAACGTCAAGAACTTGAAAGCCATTTGTATAACCAACTAAAAGCACATGTTTGAAGAAGGATGGACTGAGCTCAAGTCTGTCGAATCCAGCCCATAATACCTGTTTGATCACAATTGAGAATTCTTACTAAACTGCGCATTGCACCACAATATGACATGCTAGAGAAAGTACTACAGAAAACAAATATATTCCACACAGAATAGGTCTGTTGCATTAAAGATGCATTGCATCACAGAAAAATCTACTTGTAAAATAATATTTTTCTAGTTCCAAATAGGAAAATTTCTGATCAAAATGCTGCTACAAATTTAAACATCCACATCAAAATGACTTACTTAATGATAAAGAATCAAATCAAGGTGGTATACATATGATAAAGCAAATTCAAAACAAAAGCAAAAATTTCTTTTAAAGACTTATATGATCCTAATGATATCCCAATAGGTTCTCAGGTTCACAAAATTCTTCATATAGTGTTGCTTCTTTTCTTTGTAGGTTCTCCGTAGTTCATGTTTTCACTCTAACAAACATGGCTGCACTTCTGGTAGTAGACTAGTAATTTTTTTTGTTTTTTACTTGAACAACTTGTAAGGTGGAGATTCAAACTTCTAATATTTTGGTCGAGGATATATATATGAACAAATTAAGTCAAGCTCAAGTTGGTACTCGAGGTTAGTAGTAGAGCAGAGTATAGAGTACTAATCAGCGAGAAATCCTCTTAGTAAAACAAAATAGAATAAAATATGAAAAAGAAAACATATAATGCATCTCGAACAATAAATGCATAAGAAATGCTAAAATCCAAAGAACTTGCGCTTTCAGACCAGCAATATTGAAAGAATAAAGCTTTATCCAAAACACCAACCCTCGCATTGTCCTAAAAGTTGGTTTATTGTTCTCCAATCAAACAACCCTACATAAAACTAAAAACACACGCTTACAAATGGTTCTTTTCTTTTACTTGCCAACTACTCGAAATATCCTAGCAAAATCAGTGCACACACTCAACAAAGAATAGACTAATATAATAAAAAGAAAGATGAGAAGGGGGGGAAAAGCCCTTTATTTAGCAACAAACACAAGTATCTAATGTTTCTACAATTGAAGTTCAAAAAAATTGAAATTTCCGAAAGAATCTCCCAGACCATACAAAATGCAAAGGATCAAAAGAAGTAAAAGAAATCCTAAACTCACAGGATCCTTAGGTAAGATCACTCATTAAACCAGCGGTGGTCATGTAGATTTGACGGGAAAAAAATGCTGAACTAAGTAATTAGTTCACATTCTCCTCAATTCTCATTTTCTTTCCAACAGATGATCTTAGGAGCCTCGAGATACCAAATCTGCAGTAGCTAAAGGCAACCAGAGACTTGATGAACAAATATTCTCAATGTTTAATCTCTCTTATCCTCCAGCATTCTAAACAACCAAAAATGACGGCACTAAAACACCCAAAATCATCGATACAGCCCTAAAACCCCCCCAAAACATACAAATCTGCCGAACTCTCTCCCAATCCAATCGTCAACTCATCCAAACGCAAACTTGGGGAAAACGTAAAATCACTTCCCCAAGTAACGAAATCCCCAACAAACAAAAATTAAAATAAAGAAGTAAAGTAGACCTGATCCTTGTGATCGTGAGCATCGCCGGAGATGGAGGCAGCAACGGTAGCACTGGCTGAGCGGACACCGGAAGAAGCAGTTTTAATACAGGACGAAATAAATTTCAATGAATTCGGAAGAAAGCCGTTGGCGCTCTTGTTAGTGGTGCTACTGTTGTTGCTATTAACCTTAGCGTAGCTCTTCATAATCAAATCAGAAGCAAAAGAGAGAAGGCTGGATTACCCCGCCGTCACCGGAGAAATGGACCAAGGAGTAAGGCGGAGAGCGATCGGGAATCAGCAAACGAAAAGGAAGGACATGGCAGCGGCGGTAGAGTTCGCCGGCGAGGAAAACAGTGTCGTTTCGTTGCGGTGGCTACGGTGGCGGTGGTGGTGGTGGCGTCGTTTTGAGGTGTAGTTTGACCTTCAGTTACAGACACGGTTCCTTTCTCTTTCTATTATAAATCTCAATTTTAATTTTTCATTTTATTATTATTATTTTTTTTATATTTTTATGTCGCTGTGTTTCCGCCTCATGGTTATGAGCTCTTCGTGCGCTGTGTTCTTGTTAAGATTACACTGTAAGGAAGATGGCGTGTAAAATTACCATTTCCCACCTAGTGGATCGAGGGTATTTTTGGAATTTTACTTTTTTTTTTCTAAATCTAACCCATTTCAATTAATTAGAGTTGGGTTAGTTTAGATTAAATATTTTATTTTAATAATATTCAAATCTCTCGACATTTATAAAAACAAATAAAATTGAGAAGCGAATTCAAATTATAGCCTTCGGTAAGAACCCACGTGTTGATCCATATTAGCCATAAAAACTTATTTAAAATAAGTTTTAATTAGAAAAAATTGGAAAGAAATCACCAATTTAGGGACGTTTTACTCAAGTAGCATATCAAACCTTCTAAAAGTGATTAGGGGACCCTACTCATTGGGCTGAGCCAACCTCCAACCACTTGCATTACCAAGCTCGCCCAGTAATATCTTCGATCCAACGGAGCTCTAAGGCTCCACATGTGTCTCAGCCCCCTGCATTGTGCAATGCGACGGCCCCGTTGGAATCGTAGTTTTTAATGGCCGAGCTTGGTAATGTGGGCTTGTAACTCAAATGAGGGGCATTAGAGTAGTGGGAGGTTAGCTCAGCTCAATGAGTAGGGTCCATGGAGTGAATATCTGGTACGTCCATTCCAAGTATGGAGTTGGGCTGTTGTGCTTGGGTGAAGGCCCAGAGGCAGCGTCCTTTAGAGATGGAGGAAATCGCGTGAGGCTGGCTTTATAGAGCAGCGTAACCTCCCTCTCCTGTCGGTGGAAGGATAGTGGGACTTAGTTAGCTATAACTATGTTCACATGAGTAGAATATGAACTTGTTAAGAGTTCATCTTTGTTATGCGTATTTTATGACATGTTGCTCGTTAGTCTATTAAACTCTATGGAAAGTCGTAATCGACGTCCTGAGTGCTAAGTTAGGAAAATTAGTATTCCTAATCATCGAGTTGTAGCCTATTTCAGACTATTAGAGCGTCTAGTACACAAGTCATACTTGACCGAGAGCAAATCTTACATACCAGCCTAAAGTTCATAGTAAACATGAATAGGAAAACCAAGTGAAGGTTAGTTAGAATACCATGAGATTTGCATTAAAACGCAAAGGCTTCATTGGGAAACAAAGAACATACAACGGAAGGATGTTGTCACTAGTAATAAATTGAGAAGCAAACCCAGTAAAGAGCTCGAGTTAGAATCGGGATAGGCGATCCCAGCTTATGAAACAAGTGAATAGTTGGACTTAGAATTCGATTTAAACTAAAACCTTTAAACGAGCCATTAATTAGTAAATTTAAATATATTGAAAACACGACTAATGTAACTTGTTAATTACAAGCGAGTTACTTAATTACTAAGTAAATTAATAAGTTATCAAAATTATTTTAAATTTTCTTTTCAAATAGACGAGATGCAATATGATGGAGACGATAACGTGGATAAGCTGGGTGTTCATTCAAATTTTTATTTTTAATAAAAATAAAATATTTATCTATTTATTTATTTTGAAACATTTATTTAATTAAGATTTACAATTAAATTAATATATTTTTTTGAAAAATTACGAACAAAATAGTTAAAAAATTATTTTTAAGAGTGATAGGAGAATAAATAATAAAACATAATTATAAAATTAAATAAATATATGTAGATATATAATTGTATCATTAAAAAAAATATTTTTTAAAATTAATAATAAATTCGAGTCGGTTCAGTTTAATCTAATTTAGTTTTAGGGAAATCCATACACCAACCCAAGTAAAAAAAATTCATTCATCTTTGTTAGACGAACACGACTCTCCATAATGGTATGATATTGTCCACTTTGAGCATAAGCTATCATGGCTTTGCTTTGGGTTTCCCATGGCGCATACCAATAGAGAGAATATTCTTTCTTTATAAATCCATGATCATTCCCTAAATTAGCCGATGTTGGACTTTCATCATCCAACAATCTTGACCTAACCCACCCAAAAAGATGTTCATAACTCGATCAATCCAAATTGTGGGTTGGATTGGATTGGTCGGGTTTTTCGGGGAATCCGATTTTTTGAACACCCTTATAATCTTCTACATTAATATAGTCCAGAAGGATTGGATTGGTTGAATTTTTTCGGTGATCGAGTCTTTCTTACGCGTATAGCCTAAATGAATACTTCAAAATTAATAAAAAAAAAAAAGCATATAAAGGGTGAAATGACAAAAATGGGCAAATAGAAACAAAACCAATATAATAAAAAATAGGTGCGAATTGGAATTTTCCATAAAGGCGTTGAGCGGACTCAACAAAACCTCCTCCAACACTCCATTCAACCGCCTCGCTTCACGGGAGAAGCGTAATTAATGCAAAGAAGAGGGGGCCATCGTCAATATAACAAACTTTTAGGGTGTTTTGTGCAAATTTGTGAAAGTTTGGAACAGCTGTTGGGTCACGACAACGTATTCGAATATCTTAACAAAGATGCTGAAACCATAAAATTTCCCCTTTTTTTAAAAAAAAAAAAATTTGTTAATATTAATTGTATTTTTTTGAGGCATACATAAATTACTTTAAAAAAAAAAAAAAAAAAAAACCATTTTTTCCTTTCTCAAATCTCAATTCTTTCCCTTTTTTCGTTTCTGTATTTTTTTTTTGTTTTTTTATTTTAATTTTTGTCTTCATGTTTCTGCCTCAAGGTTACGAGTTCTTTGTCGGTTATGTATGGGTGTAAAATTACCATTTTACCCTTGCCTTTTTGAGCGATACTTTTTGTTTGACACGATACTACTTTTAACTATTAATCAAATATACTAGCTAAATTGTACACGGTTCAGTTCGTTAAGATATGTATTATCAACTAAGAAAGCATAGGCTTGAATCATTTACCATCACTATTGTAACGTGTGACATCAAATTTTAAAAATATGGTAACGTGTAAAAATGTCTAAATTAGTGTGACATCAAATTGTTAATGTATGCCTTGCTTATCTATTTGGTCTCTTTTATACATCAAAATATCTCACTTTACTGAGAGATGTGTCTTAAGACATATTTTACTGTATTCGTAAGAAAATAGATCTATTCGCCAAAAGAAATTCAAAAGATTTATCTGCTTTCTCCATGTGCGAGCAACGCAACCCTATAGTTTGGTCCTTTTATTTATTTATATATATACATATTTGCGTTATTTTGGCTTTTGATAGTCTTAATTTTTTAACCGTTTTTTTCTTTTAACTCAATTTAGGGTCTATCTATAATGAGAGCTCTGTGACTTATCGTTAAATCTTGCGGTGCATGATAAGACTCTACTAGTTCTAAGTCTAGCTGGTTTGGACGAGCCATGTTTTCTAGAATTAAAAGCTTGAAAAACTGTAATAGGATTATTAAGGACTCACCAATTAATCCCTTTTAGTTGACCATTATCGAATGATATTTTTCCTAATGTCCCAACAACTTAATAGAGAACCCATGAGTGTAGGTGTACTCCAAATGAGTCGAGTACAAGACATCGTGAGATGAAGATCAATAGCTCAATAAGGTCTCGGATCGGGTCAAAACTCAAGAGATAAAAAAGTTAGAGGACATTGTACCCTAGACAAGAAGACCGAATAGATTTCTATTTCGATTTTGTATTTTAAACTTCCACGTACGTATTTTGTATCCGAATATTTTATGTAATTAACGCACTTTGATTTAAATTTTTGAACTCCATCGTGTCACCCTTTATTTTAAAAATTGAAACATTTTATCGAGCTTTTTGACCGTTTATGATTTGAAGTCTCAAAAAGCAGGTTGTTACATTATCTGAACCTAAAATGAAATTCATATGGTTATGATGAGCTCATATGAGCTAATAAAATTGAGCCTTAGGTTATAGGTTCTATAGACTTCTTTAGACAGCGAGTCGTAGAGTTCTCCATAACCCAATTCAAAGAAAGTATTTATCACGTTCATGCATGTGAATCTTGATAAGTTATGTGATATTGTTGAGTTAGCAACGAACGAAAACTGATTATAACCCAACTTTTTTTATTTTGTGTGACAGATTATGGCTTCATGGATGAAAAATCCATTGAGACAGGGATAGAAAAGGAGAGAACAAACACGGTAGATCATACTCGAAAATGCCTCAATGGGTGAAGCACCTAGGGAACCGACACTCGAACAAACACAAACACAAACACTTGTGAGTGCATGTACGAAGAAACCAAGTAGTTAAGGGATTTTAGAAAGTACGAACCTTTCGATAGATGAGCTATAGAGTCACTAGGATGCTAGTTATTAAGGTTGAAACTGATCTTGAGTTGCCATCCAAACACGAACACTTTCTTGGAGGAATAATTTTCGGATAGAAAGACTCAAATTACGGGAGTTAATACTTAGTTAGTTAAGTTAGGTTTTTTTTTAGTACATATCCAACCACCACCATTTCTTTCGCTTTTTATTTCTTTATAATTGACTCGTTAAAAAAAGAAAAAAAGAAAAAAAGAAAAAAAAAATCAGTGTTTCCATTGATCATTCCCATAATCTCCCATTTTTTCTCTTGCTATTCTGCTACGCCGCTACCTCGAAGATGGGCCTACAGAGCGAGGAGAAAGGCGATTCGTATCCTCTAATCGAGCCCCGGAGTCATGGCATGCATGGCGGCGCTACCTTCGCCATCATTGTCACCACTCTGGTTGCTGTATCTGGCTCATACGTTTTCGGGACAGCGGTAACAACTCTTTGCCCATAATTCCGAGCGATTTGAAAATAATGGGTTTTGTGATGTTTTTTGTTTCTTGTCAGATTGGATATTCATCACCTGCTCAGTCTGGCATCATGACTGACCTGGCTCTTACTGTATCAGAGGTGAATGAAAATTGCATCTGCTTCTTTTTCTTCATTTCATGATGTTATGTTCTTC